TGACAATTTTTTCGATAACTCAGCCATTTCTTGACGGATCTTTCTCATCTTCAAACTCGACCAAGATATTGATGAGACAATTCTGTGCACAAAATTTCAGTTCAATCGGATGTAATTGTGAAGAGTTATCGTGTACACGGACGCCCGGACACACTGACCGATTCTAGAGTGTACTCACTTTTTGAGTACACAAAAACTTGTTTCTATGAGCCTTTGGAACCGAACTATGACTGTTTTAGTGAATTTCTAAACAATAATTGTTTTCCACAGGTATGATAGAAAAATCGAATTTACTTCAAAATTCAATATTTCGACAAAAAAAAAACTCATTTTTTTTTCAACTGAAACTTTCTTATTATAGGCTGGAAATTCAGTAAAATAAGTATAACTGTAGAAGAAAAGTCTAATGACATGAATCCTTTTAAAATGTTACTTATTCATGCTGTGATTTCACACAGAGTTTATTCGTTAAAAGAATTTCTTTATAAGACATGAGATCAAATTCTTTCTTGAAACAAAAAATTTGTCAAATTCTGACATACTGTCTTCAAAGAAAAACTTACACAAAGAAGTCCACCAAAATAACTTTTCATATAAGAAACTAATTCCATTTTTTCATAATTAAATATTCGTAGAAAACCATCTTGTGATACCACAGCTAATAGAGTATTATCAGGTGAAAAAGCAAATTCATTTATACTACCAGTACCAATCGACCAACGTGATACTGGATTACGTGCTTGTTTTGATTTATTCTACAAAAAAAAAAAATATAGAAGTTAATTTTATTTATTTCAAAAGAAAAATAACAAACTTTTGTATATGATATAGAAAAATTTTTTTCATCATCTTTTATTGTTGAATATGTTGATTGAATATTTGTATCACGTTGATAATTAAGTTGTTCATCATATACATATAAATAACCACTTGAATATGATGCAATAAAATATGTTCGAGGAGAAGGTAACCATTTAATACATGTTACTTTTGTTTTATCCAAATAACTCTTATTATTAGAATAAAAAAACAAATCATTGAATTGAATATTTTCTTTATTACTTACTCCTTCATTAAATACTTTTTGTTCTTTTGTTTGCATATTTATATATTGTATTTGTCCTTTAGAAAATCCGACAAGAATATGTAAAATATTTGTGTCTGGATCTTGGGTAATATCATGACATGTAGGTTGATGATTTTGTTTATAAACACGATGGTCAATCGGTTCACCAAAATTAGGCTAGAAGTGTATTTTTTTTTTTTTTTGTTAGAAATCAATCAATATTCATATTTTTAGTAAAACTAGAATTGAATAGAAACCAGTGACGTATCCAGGATTTTTCAGTATGCTGAATCTTGACTTTTGAGCATGTGACCCAAATGATGGAATTTTATCTAAAAAAATTTGCACTCGGAGTTTACGAAAAAAATTAGCATTTTCCTGATCCCCTCTCCTAGGATTTTTTACTGTTAGTATTATCTTGGATTTTAGAATTTCATAGGAAGCTATACCAAATTTCATCGACAGATTTGAAATTTCGTCTAAAAATGTGCAACCGTTCAAGAGTTATAATGTTTTGAAATTTCGAAAAAAATTGTTTCCACATGTGGCAAAAATTCAAAAAGTTATAACTCTTGAACGATTACATATTTTTAGACGAAATTTGAAATTCGGTATAGCTTCCTATGAAATTCTAAAAATTAAGATGCTACTAACAGCAAAAAATCCTAGGCGGGGCGGATCAGGAAAATGCAAATTTTTTTTGATAA